GCAAGCTGCTCTTTGAAATCTTCTGTTCAGCTCTTTTATCTTTCATTTCTTCTATTTGTTTTAGCCACTCTCCATTCAAAAGCAAGTTTCAAAATCTCTTCTGACATCTATTTAGGCCTTTCTTCCTTTCCTGTCTTTCTAATGACCTTTTGCTTTCTTCATGTATGACATTCTTGATGTCATCCCAAATTCATCTGGTTTTCAGTCATTGGTGTTCAATGCATCAAATCTATTCTTCAGATGGTCCCTAAATTCAGGTGGGATATAACCAAGGTCATATTTTGATTCTCATGGATTTGTTTTGTCTTCAGCTTCAAATTGAACTTGCATATGAGCAATAGATGGTTTGTTCCATAGTCAGCTCCTAGCCTTGTTTTGGCTGAAGATTATTGAGCTTCTCCATCACCTCTTTCAGATGTAGTCGATCTGATTCCTGTGTATTCTGTCTGGGGAGGTCCATGTGTATAGCCATGATTTATGTTGTTGAAAAACAGTATTTACACAAACAAGTCATTGGTCTTGCAAAATTCTATCATCTGATCTCTGGTGTCATTTCTATCACTTTGGCCATATTTCCCAACTACTGGTGATTCTTCTGTTTCCAACTTTCATATTTCAATCATCAGTAATAATCAATATATCTTGATTGCATGTTTAGTCAATTTCAGAGTGCTGAAGTCGGTTAAAATCTTCAATTTTCTCATCTTTGGCCTTAGTGGTTGGTGTGTAAATTTGACTAATAGTAGTTTTCTGTGTATGTGTATATATATTATCCTATCACTGACAGTACTATACTTCAGGATAGATCTTGAAACATCTTTGTGAGGATGAATGCTATGCCATTCCTCTTCAACTTGTCATTCCTAGCATAGTAGATCATATGGTTGTCTGATTCAAAATGGCCAAAACCCATCCACTTCAGCTCACTATTGCCTACAATATTGATCTTTATGTGTCCCATTTCATTTTTGACAACTTCCAATTTTCCTACATTCATACTTTATACACTCCATGTTCTAATTATTAATGGATGTTTGCAGCTTTTTCTTCCTGTTTTGAGTCATGCCACATTAGTAAATTCCTCCATCCATGCAATTAAAGTCAACTCTACTTTGAGGAGGCAGTTCTTACCCAGTCATATTTTGAGTGCCTTCTGACCTGTTGGGCTCATCTTCCGACTCTATATCGGATGATGTTTCAGGGCTATTCATAAAGTTTTCCAGTAATATATCATAGGGTTTTTCACTGCTATTCATAAGGTTTTCGCTGGTCAATTCTTTGACCTTCTTTCCTTCTAGTCTGTCTAGTCTGGAAGCTCCACTGAAACCTGTCCATCATGGGTGACCCTGCTGGTATTTGAAATACTGGTGGCAAAGCCTCCAACCTCACAGCAAGACACAAGCCACCACAGTACAACAAACTGACAGATGGGTGGTGCCTCCATAAGTCCATAAAAATTAAACATTTCTTTTCAAAGCTATAACAGAGGCCAAAGTTAAACAGTGAAATAGTATTGGAAGGAAGGTTGGGCAATCTACTTCCATAGTAATAACTGCCTCGGAAACCCAAGGAGGGGTCGCTATGAGTCAGGTCTGACTCGATGCCAGTGAGTTTGGAGTTTGGTTTTGAGTATTGGAAGGGTTGTTTTTTTTTTTAATAGAAGGTTGTATTTTGAGTTGAAGTCTTTATTTCCTAGTTAAATACCACTGCAATTATTACGTTTTTTGTTATTAAAAGAAAAATTAAGAGGCTTATTTTTTTTTTTTTAAGAAAAAGACATCAGTAAATCTGATCCAGGTTAATCCTGTTTAGGCAGTTAAGCCATACATTTCAAGTCACCTGATGTCAGCTTCTATAATAGTAGAAATAATGCCTAGGAGGAAGTAAACTGGCATTACAGTGGTAATCCATAAGACAATGGCAACTATCTCTTTTGCAGTCAACACCTTTGTGTCCCACGTGAGAGAAACAGTCAGATATTTTACACTTCACTTGAACTCAAGATAACATTTCTAAGAGATGGCTTTGTACTAGCTGACACACTCACCTGAGAAACGGCGCTCTGGAACTTCCATCTTCATCTAACTTATAAAGTGCATCTGCTCTCAAGCCATCAGCAACAAACAGCACTAATCTTCTTGCTGGAGGAGGCAATGGTGTAAACTGAGGAGTCATCCCGTGAACCAAAGGGGACGTAAAGTAAATGTCAAAGATGGAGGCGAAGAACACAAGATGTACGAGCAATCCCAAGATAAAGAACAGCAGCATAGCCAGTGTTAGGAGTTAATCTTAAGGAAAAACCGAGAGAGGGAACAGAATTAAATTGGGGTAAATCTTAATGCAACCATATGTATTTTCACATTCTGATGACTACATGTAGACTGGAAATATATTTAAAATATTACATAAGTCACAAGTTCACTTTCATGGGGGGGGGCAAAAATAAAGTTTGTTTAATAATGAGAGATAATATTGAAATAAAATAAATTTCAAAATACACATGTTGTTGGCTGATGTTGAGTTGGTCCTGACTCAAGGTGAACCCACAGGTTACAGAGTAGCTCCTCCATACAATTTTCCTGGCTGTAATCTTTACAGAAGCAGTTTGCCAAGTCTTTCTTCCATGGAGCCACCGAGTGGGTTCAAAATGCCAACCTTGAAGTTAGCAGCCACTTTCCCCACCCAGGCTGCTGATAAAGTACATACGAGCACTTAAAAGAAAAAAAAAAAGTTCAAGTACATAAAAGCAATTTGATGAGTAAGCTATTCATAACAAATGTATATACATACTAAGCTCATAAAAAATAGCATAGGAGCAAAGAACCAAGAATAATCAAGCCAGTCTTAACATCAGTTAGGGTTCAGTCAAATCAAACACACATGAAATAGAAAACATAACTCAGCTATCTAACACTTCTTATACAGAGAGTTCTATGAGGTGTTTGTATAGAATGTGTGTTATTTCTCCTTCATTGTGCCTCAGAATTCCAACAATGAAAACATCTAATCTCGTTTTATTTGTGGAAGGTTTTTAACTATAAATACATTTTTTTTTTTTCAAAGTGTAAGGACACTCAGATGATCTATGATTTCTTGGGTGAGTTTTGGTACTTTCTAACTTTTAAGGAACTTGTCCATTTCTTTAAGTTATCAAATTGATTGCATCAAATTGATTGCTCAAAATGTTCATAAAAGTCACCTGTGATCCTCTTTTCTGGACTTCAGTACAGGATTTTTCACTGCTATTCATAAGGTTTTCTAAGGCCAGGTATGACATTTTGTTGTCCAGAGAAAGCCATTTTTTCAAGAACTTAATTCCTTTCAGGTAAATCTCAAACTCTACTCAGAGCTAAAATACGTATGGTATATTCAGATACACAGAAGCTCATATTGATTTAAATACTTCCTCTTTATCCTGGAAACCTTATCATGCTTATGAATAAGCAAATGTTTGTATCATTTTTCACCTGCACTCACATTTACAAATAACTCCTCAGAAGTATATTCTTTTCTTTTCCCCATTACTATTGCACAGCTTTTCTGTATAAAGTGCCAAAGTCTAAGTGTTAAAGGATAATATAACTTTTTTTTACTGCTCAAAGGCTTACTGAAGTAGTGAAACAAGACTTTTACGTGAGCACTTTGGCCTTCTTACAGCTATAGTATCCACTATAAAAGCCAACACAGTTAGATAACAACAGTGGAGTCCTGGGGAAGACACTACCTCTCTGTTTCCTTGTCCATCGAAAAAGATACTATTAGTCCTATTCCATGCTGGGAGGATCATGGGAAATAAATGAGACTATCCATGGCACCAAAAAATGTGAAGTATAAGTAATACTGTACACAAAGAGTACAAAGCAACTCAAATTTTAATTTTTAAATCCAACTCCAAACAGCTGAGTTTATTATTAGTTTTTTAAAGCAACAGGAAGGAAAATATGTATTTTCCTGTCCAGTTGGGAATTCAGATTAATGATCCCAATACTGCAAGTAAATTCCATTAATAGAACGTGACCTGATAAAACCTTGATTTTGAACTTCTCGTCTCCAAAACTGAGGAAAGAATAAATTTCTGAGTGAGTATCTTTTCAGTTTTTATCAACCAATTTGGTTTCCTATCCTTTCAATTAGCTATTCATATCCTTGGATCAGAGAGGGTTAGGGTTGCTGGCTCTTTTTCTTTGATTTGTAAATGATGATTTTATACTCACACATACATATGGTCTCCTGTTAAACAGAAGTTTTAAATTGTAATACCATTCATCAAACCTATCATTTCTGAACGCTCTCTGTGTCTTGTCTAAGAAAACTTCTCTTATTCCTCGGTCGCATATGTTTAAAATTTTTCTTTTCACTTTTCATTACTGAAAATTTGTATATGCTGTGAGATCTAATTGAGATCTAATTTCATGTTTTCAATGTTGATAGCCAATTGAATAACAGAATTATTAGTATAGTTACCACTCCAGAATTTACTCAGAAAATTTCACATCAGAAATAAACACAGGTAAAAATTTTATTTGTAAGAATCAAATATTGCAAATAATATCTAGTAACAGGAAAATATATAAATGAATAGTTTATTCATAATGAAATACTGTACAGCATAAAAATCAATTAGGTCATATCTATGACAAGGATACATTTCACAAATATAAGGATTAATGGAAAATCTACTGCCCGTTCCTCCCCAACACAGTCAAACTTGCTGAAAAGATTAAATATAATTGACTGTTTTTTTTTCTGACCACCTAATCCTCAAACAACTTTATTTCAGCCTCTGTTTCTATTACTTTAGAGAGACACCTTCTACTAAGGTGGTCAAGCTTGCAAACTCCAACAGCTACTTTTAAGTCTTCATGTTCTTTGACTCCTCCTTCAATTTGACCTTGTTCACTACACCTTTTGTAATAGCTCTCATTCTTTGACTTCTGTGAACATCACTATCTTGGTTTTCCTTTTACTTCTATGACCTATGTAGATTGGTCTCTATCTAGTCATTGAATTTTGTCTATTACTCCAAAGTTGGTCCTAAGCACTCTTCTCTTCTCACTCTGTACTCCAAGAATTTTTAATCATACCCTTGGCTTCAGTTATCATCTATATATAAATGACTCAACAAATCATAGCCCCAAACCCACATATCTATCTCCAATCTTGCTATGTCCACTTGGTTATTTCAAAGACATTAAAATTGAGATTCTCTAAAACCAAACTCATGATATCTCTCATAACCTAGTGTGGTAGTTAAGGTTTTGTGTCAACTAGGCTGGGCCGTGGTTCTGAGTGGCTAGGCAGCTGGATGTAGGTATTCCCTCCCCATGAAAAGACTATAATCACCTCCATTATGTGGCCTATTTCCTATATAAGGAGAAGCTTTGAGAAAGGTCTCTAGCTTTTTGGCACATCTAGATCCTGCATTCACCCAAGTCTTCATCTCAATGGTTGAGATGAGGGCTGCCGTGTTGCCTGCCAATGTTAGGATTGTTCCTAGACTGGAACCAGTGCTCTGCCATGTCGCCTGTTGATCTTAGGATTGTGCATTTTACCTGTCAACATTGAGTTTGTCAGCCTCTGCAGCCAGCAGCTGCAAGACTTACAAGAAGCCTCCAGCTCCAGTGGGCTAGAAGCAAGAGGCAGAGCTGAAGCCCAAGGTCAAGGGGCCTTCACCCAGCTGCTAGAGCTGGCACTTTTAGTTTTCACTTCTAACTTCTTAAACTGTAAGAGAATAAACTCCTGTTTGTTAAAGCCATCCACTTGCAGTATTTGTTATAACAGCACTAGAGAACTAAGACACCTTGTTTACCTTCATAACTCCCTAGAGTTCACAATCTCAGGATATGCCTTCCACTCAGCTATGCAAGTCAGAGCACTAGGAGTCATTCTTCATACCCCTTTCTTCCTCCATATTAAATCCTACCACTTTGTCTGGTTTTTGTTTCTTGAAACCACCCACTTGTCTTAACTACTGCCACTCCTGTACTCCAAGGTACCATTATCACATAAACTACTGAAATGCACCAATAGGTCTCCCCATGTCCACTCTGACCCCTCTCTGATCCACATTCTGCACTATAGTCTGAATATTACTTCATTTTCTTTACAAAAATGCAAATCTGTATTTGCAAATTATCTCATTCCTTATATAAAACTCTTCAATGCCCCTACCTCCATTCTAATCAGGACCAAAATTCTTGACATGACAAACGTCCTAAAGATTGGCCTCTGCCTCCCTTTATAGACTCATCTCAGAACAATTCCCCCTGATTTATAGCATCTCACTACATTGGCCTTTTATTTCTTCAAGTATCTCATGCCCTCTCTTGCTAGAAGATTTCATAGGTACAATCCCTCTGTAGAATGCTCTCCCAAACTAACTTCAATTCTGTCTCATCAATAGAGACTTGATACCTCCTTATATAAGAAACCCTGGTGGCACAACAGTTAAGTGCCTGGCTGCTAACTGTAAGGTTAGTAGAAACAGCTAGTGGCTTTGTGAAAGACTTGGTGATCTGCTCCTGTAAAGACAGTTGTTGTCAGGAGCTGCTGAGTCAGCTGATTCATAGTAACCCGATAAACAACAGAAACACTGCCCTGTCCTGCACCATCCTCACAATCGTTGCTATGTTTGAGCCTACTGTTGCAGCCACTGTGCCAATCCACCTCATCGAGGGTCTTCCCCTTTTTCACTGACCCTATATTTGTTGTTTTTGTTGTTATGTGCCATCGAGTCAGATTTGACTCATAGCCACCCCTCCTTGGGTTTCCGAGGCAGTATCACTATGGAAGTAGATTGCCCTATCTTCCTTCCGAGGAGTGGCTGGTGGGTTTGAACCACCAGCCTTCTGGTTAGCAGTCAAGTGCCTTAGCCACTATGCTACCAGAGCTCCCGACCCTATATTTACCAAGCATGATATCCTTCTTCAGGGACGGGTTGCTGCTAGTAACAAGACCAAAGTACAGTAGACGAAGTCTCACCATCCTCATCTCCAAGGAGCATTCTGGCTCTACTTCTTCCAAGACAGATTTGTTTGTTCCTCTGGCAGTACACAGTGCATTCAAATTCTTCACCAACACCATAATTCAAATGCATCAACTCTTCTTCGCCAAGATTATAGTCTAGAAAATCCTCTGGGGCAGTTCTACTTTGTAACGTGGGGTCAGCTGAGTCAAAAATTGACTTGATGGCACCTAACAATAATGTTTCCTTGCACATAAGCATCACTTTCTCAAGGAACCCTTCCTGACTATGCAGTCCAAGTTAGAAACCAAAGCCATTATTTTAGTTTGTAATTACATAGATAGTATTTGGATTAATGTATGTCTGTCACTTTATCATAATTCCATGACAGCTGGCAGGGATTGTATCTTTTCTCTCCTGGCACTGTATTTCCAGCACGCACCCATACAGTCCTAGGCACTTAGTAAAGACTCAAATGTTTGCTGAATAAATTATTTAACGTTATCATTTCTAAGGAACATGCAATATGCACCCACAGCCACTAGAGGTTGCCTAGCTTCTCTTATACAATCTGTGAAGATTCAGGGCACTTCAACTTAAAATACATACATACATACATACATACATACATACTACTTATTTTATTATTGCCAAGCATATGTTTCTTAAGCAGTACTATCACTTAATATTTCTCTTTAAAGAGAGTCACACTTTATTTGGATTTATTTAAAAAGAAACTTTTGAATTATTTGCCATATTTGAATCATTTAGAAGTTTCAGAATAAAATGCCTATTAAAAATTTTAAAAGGCACATGCTCGTGTACCACCCTTATACTTGTGGGATGTTTACCACACATTGAGAAATAATAAAATTTAGATGCTACTCTAATTTTAAGTCAATCAAAATCTTGTGTTTAAAATGTTACCTGAAGTTATTTTAGGACTCTTAAAGTCAAAAATATAAATAAAATATTTGAAGAACTTGATAAAAAAAGTTGTCTTTTAATTTTCATAACTAATATACACATTTCAATGACTATCCATGTTATTTGGATAAAACATTATCTGCAAAGGCCACAATTAATGTAAACTTGCTAAGGAGAAATGTTTTCTAACAATATTAATAATAAATTACTGTAAGTAGCTATCAGTAATAATTAATAATGCTAGAGCATGCTATTTCTTAAACGTTTTTTGAAAATAAGAAAACCTTTCCATGTATTATGTAAAAGAGATGTACCTAATGGGAAGACTGGCCAATTGATTTGTAATGGGCTTGGAAGGTCACAGAAACGAGTCTATGATTACAGGAAGCAGAGTTAGGAAACTACATATCTAATAGGAAGCAAGTCATAGTGATCTATTTTTGAAATACCAGCCACTGAAAACCCTTTGGGGCACAGTTCTATTCGACACACATGGCATCTCCATGAGTCAGAGTCAACTCTGGTTTAGGTACCAAACACCATGACAAAAACTTTACAAACACTATCTCTTTGTACCTTATCAATTCTCTATACTTTCATTATCATCTTTGACAGTTGGCTACAAGTGATGCCAGGAACTTTTTCAAGGTCTCACAGAAAGTAATTGGTAGAATTGGGATCTGAACTTAAGTTCTTCCACCTCATAAGCACAGTCCTACAGAGACCTTCAGTGCAAATTTCAAAATTTCCCATTGTTGTTGTTAGGTGCTATTGATTCGTCTCCAACTCATAGCGACCCTACATACGACCCTTCAAACAGCAGAACGAAACAATGCCTAGTCCTGTGCCAGCCCTACGACCCTTGCTATAGCTGAGCCCATCGTTGTAGACACCATGTCAATCCATCTTGTTGAGGGCCTTTCCCTTTTTCATTAACCCTCCACCTTACCAAGCATGATATCCTTCTCCAGAGAATGGTCCCTTTTGACAACATGACCAAAGTAGGACATTCTCGCTTCCAAGGAGCATTCTGGCTGCACTTCTTCCAGGGTGGATTTGTCAGTTCTTCTAGCAGTCCATGGTACTTTTCAGCATTCTGCGCCAGCACTCAGAAGCACTGACTGTTCTTCGGTCTTTCTTATTCATTGTCCAGTTCTCACATGCATATGAAGCAATTGAAAATACCATGGCTTGTGTCATTTTCACATTAAAGATAGGGAAATATAAAACAATATAGTTTTATATAAAATATATATAAAACTTATATATATGCTTTATATAAAATATGAAAACAACTTATACATATAAACATATTATCAGTGATATACCTTAGGATTCCTAGTGTCCATACTTTTGAGAGAGTCTTAGATTTCTCCATATTGATGGTATGAGGGGTTTAGTGTGTTATATGAAGCCAACTATAATTTATTCATGCCATTCATGAATTCCTCCATTTCTGAAAGAGGTTCCAGTTCCAATCTTTCAGGAAAATTCAATTAAAATAATGAACTACAATCTCTTTTGTTAAGAAATATCTAATAGGATATATATGTCATTATCTTTATACTATTTTCCTGTGATCAGAGGTTGCCCCCCTACACACACACATATTTTCTTCAATGTCTAGTACAAAAAATATTTATGAGCTAATGTTCCAATTTTAAATATTTTTATTTCTTGATATTAACACACTGTTCTAAAAAAAGAAAAAAAATACTTCTAGCCAAAAACACTGCCTGAAAGCCTACACTTATCTACTGGCATACTTTTACCTGTAAACCAATAACCTGACCTAAGGTTATATAAGAATGCTCTGTTTTTATTTTTCCAGAGATAATAAAAGAGATACTTTACTGCTTCGATGTAATATGTAACATATGATAGTCATAATCACTGCTACCTGTTTATTTTGGTGTGTATTGCCAACTGTACAACAAGAAAGTTAACCTAAAACCTGCAAAACTGCCAATTTGTGTGTGGGTGTGAAAATGGAAGTCATCAGGAATGGGACTGAAATTCTGTTGAGTGAACAATTCTTCCTTTACCACCTGGAACTGTAATGAAGGAATGACATAAAAGATAAAATCCCAATTAGGAATATACTTAATGTGCTAACGTTTGATCAAAGAAATCACAACTCTGAAGCATTACATTTTTTAAATAATTAAATTTCACAATCAAAACCTTGACTCCCCCCTAAATTGATGAGTCAGGAATGCTACAAACAGAGCACAACGGAAAAAGAATGCCTTTGACATAAGAGAGTGGAGACTTGAGTTTCTTTCAATACTGACAAGTGCAGTTGACTTGACCAAATCATGAAAGTCTTTAGACTTCAGTTTACTTATCTCTCCAGGGAGGGGGTGGAAACTGATATGCTCAAGGGTCTCTGTCGTGCGATCTGTGTGTTAAATCCTGTGTGTTTATTTAGCACCTACATTTGACTTTTAACCAGAAGGCTGGCGGTTCAAACCCACCAGCCACTCCTCGGAAGGAAGGTTGGGCAATCTACTCCCGTAGTGATACCGCCTCCGAAACCCAAGGAGGGGTCGCTCTGAGTCGGCACGGACGGCAGTGAGTTTGGTTGTTTCGAGTACCCAGTCGAGGTTATCAGGGTGTCACAGATGCCGGAAATTCCAAACCTCAGGGCCCACTTTCCCTTGACTGCTTTGTCCCACCGCCGGAGGGCTGATCCCTGGGGGACGCGCTCGCCCTGCGGACTGTCGCTAGGCCTCTAGGAGCAGCGGGCACAGGCGGGATGGAAAGAAAAGGAAGCCAAATTCTGACTCCTGCCCAGGACACTCGCTACCTGGACGGAGAAACGTCACTAATTGGCAGCACACACCGAGAAAGGTGAAGCATCTGCAAAGTGGCAGTTGCAGTGTCGCCACGCCTCAGCGCACTAGCCACTACCCGGGATTCATGTGGGTCAGGTTTGATTAGGGAATGAGGGCTCCTCAGCGCGGAAGGCCATTAAAGCTCTGAGCAGCTCTCCCTCTGCCCCACGAAACGCTAGCCAAGAGAGTTTCTTCAAGTCACCATTCAACCACCCCGCACCTCGGAACGCCCCACAACTCCTACCGGTTCAGCAGCTGCTCTCGCGATACTTCTACAGCCACGCCCCCTTAGCTCCTGCTCCCGCCTCCTCCATCAGCCAGTCAGTCATGAGTTAGGGGCGGGGTTTGCTTTTGAGCAGGGAACACGGCCTTCAATCCTTGCTCTCTGGCATTGAGAATGGGCGGGGCTGAGGCGGGGCTCCGGCAGGGGTGGGGCCGCGAGGGGGAGGAGGACACAAACGATATCTCGCGGGACCGGAGACCAGGAAGACGCCTACAGAGCCGGGCTGCTAGTGCAGCCGCGGCTGAGGCAGTGGGGCGCTGCTGCATCAGGACCTTCTGCCTCCGAGCCACGCCTGGTCTCCAGGCCTGGAGGCGGGACGAAGCCAGGCCCTGGCAGTGGAGACGCGCAGTGCACGCTGAGGTTTAGGGGAGATTCAGGCCGCGGCCTGTCAGGGCCAGTCAGGGAGGAGCCCACCCTTCTGACAGAATAAGATGGCGGCGATGGCGCCTGGAGGTGGCAGTGGGAGCGGCGGCGTGAATCCATTCCTCAGCGATACCGACGAGGATGACGACGAGGTAGCGGCGACGCAGGAGCGGCGGTCTGGACTTCGGCTGGGTTCCGGGGGTGGCCTGGATCCTGACTCTGTGGGCTCGCTGTCGCCACAGGATCCCGTGGCTTTAGGGAGCAGTGTGCGGACGGGGCTCCCTGGGGAGGCGGCTGCGGTGGCGCTGGGGGGCCTCGGGGACACCCCGGCCCGACTGTCCATTGATGCGATCGCCGCTCAGTTGTTGCGGGATCAGTACTTGCTGACGGCCCTGGAGCTGCATACCGAGCTGTTGGAGAGCGGCCGCGAGCTGCCTCGGCTGCGTGACTACTTCTCCAACCCCGGCAACTTCGAGAGGCAGAGCGGGACCCCGCCTGGGGTGGGAGCGCCGGGCTTCCCGGGAGCAGCCGGCGTCGGAGGCGCTGGAGGCCGGGAGCCGAGTACTACGTCTGGCGGGGGACAGCTCAGTAAGTGGATGCTGCCTGGTCCTCTCCGGCGGGGTGTTGGGATTGTAAGAAGCTGGGTGATGGAGGAGTATTTCTGGGCGGGCACGGAGAGTGGGAACGTTTCGGGAGAGCGAGAGTCGGGGGGGAAATGGTTTGCAGTGAGAGCGAAGAATCTGGCAGTCGCTGTGCAGCCTGCCTCCAACCCTTGGCCGGAGTCGCACTTGGTCCTGGCTGCCCTCTTGGTGTTGGTGTCTATGAAGTATCAAGAGTTTCTACTTAACTGGTTATTCTGAGACTGCAAAAGACTGCCTTGTAAACTGGTGTATAGCTTTAAGCGTATTTCCCTTTTCTCCAGTCTCCCGAATCATGCTACCAGGAAATAGGGATTCTTAAAATACATGTTCTCAGTAATTCTTTAGTTCAGGAGTAACTAACTCGCGACAGTGCGAGCTCCTTGATGGCAAAGACGTTGTTTGTTTATTTTCGTGTTCTCCTGGGTATCATTAGCAAAGACTGGACAGAAAAGACTGTGAAATGTGATCCTCTTTCCAAAGTCAGGTTCACCCTTAAGACCCTTTGTCTTTGGGCTGACTTTCTCACTCAGAAGTTGGGGTTTCTGCTGCATAGGTTTTGTTCTGTTTGAATAAGTACATTCCATTCTATTTCAGTGCGTTAATTTCAGTGGTTTCCAAACTTAAAGGAAATCCAAAGAGTAGCTCAGGCACCTTCTGCCTGCACGTTTTTTGTTCCAACACTTCAGCGAAAAAAAAACAACTCACTGCCATCGCGTTGAATCCGACTCATAGCGACCCTCGTTGGGTTTCCGAGGCTTTAAATCTTTAAGGAAGCAGTTCGCCCCCTCTTCCTTCTGGAGCAAGTAGTGGGTTTGAACCGCTGACCTTCTGGTTAGCAGGCAAATGCTTTCTCCACTATGCTGCCCACCACCTAGCAGGTCTTTTTTTTCTGCACAAATCGGGAATTTACTTTTTTACCTTGTTGTAATCGGGTGTATTGCCTAAGGCACTTGACTG